CAATTATGATCTACTCTAAACATTAACCTTAATTTAAAATATAATGCTAGAGCATTTCATATGCCTTAAAAAGACTTACCATAGTCATAATGACACTGTGATGACAGCTGCTCGGAACACAAACGATATGTGGCCACAATTTTCACAGCAAGCGGTTTTGCACTAAGAAACCCGTACGAGTAAAGTTCTATTTCTGATATTAAAGCATAATCGGGCACCATCATAGCGACTGATCTGAACAAGGCCTGTGGAAAGTGTAAAATTAGTACAGTGAAAGAATATAGTGACAGACTACTTTTAAATTGTCAGGCAATTCGGATCGCCCCGCATATCCGGGATTCATCGTAATAAAGACGGCACAAGTGGGATCAAGTTTCAGTTCGGTGCCCTCAAATACCATCTTTTCTGCTCCGGAATTTATTCCTCGTTGTATGGTTAATATCTGCTGGGCGACCACTGAAAGTACTTCGAGGTCGATTCTATTAAATTCGTCAAAACAGGACCAAGCGCCGCACGACGCCAATCCCTAAGACCTTTAATATGACTACACGCAAACATTGCTCTCCTCAAAAGACCTTAAAGAATTTGCCAAGGGCGAGATAATCGAGCCCATCCGAACAGTTAAATACAACGCATTGTTTCGCGACGGACTTTGCCAGATCTTTTGTTGTTTCTGTCTTTCCGGTACCAGCAGGACCTTCAGGCGCGCCACCTGGGTGATTGCTGTTAATGGTGAGTAAAGTATATCACGGCAGACTTCAGTTTACAAGCTGTTATTAGTTTACGAAGCCTGTAAACTCAAGGCCGCCTTGCATCGTGCTTTGACGATTTACCTAAATGAAGATGTAATGCACCAAATAGGGTTCTGAAGCAACGATCTGTTAAAGGTGTAACAACAAGTCTGGACACGTTTCCCAAATATTCGTAACCATACATTAGAGTTGAATTTATCATGCGGGTTGCCATTTGATTGTCCTACATTAAAGATAATAATGTTCGGTTGATTAGCAACGCTTTTTAACATTTCAAATGCACTATGAGCTCTAAATGTTTCCCTAAACAAATGCGCATCGTTCCCTAAGCCACGTCGACTCTCTGCGCGTGGTACTATTTGCAGTGATGGAGGCGTCCGTTACAAACTGAAGACATGATGGTTAAAATTTATTTGTAAAATGCGGGACGTAATATGAGATAACCCACACAACATGTTCATTGATCAGACTCGCTTTGCCTTTATTCAAAGGAACTTCCAGAAAAAAAGTATTTGCAATAGTCTACTCTGAAATGGATTTTATTATTGGTTGAATACGTGACGACGGCGCCACTCTCCGTCTCGTTCTTTCATGTTTGCAAGGATAAGGAATTTTTAGGTCCTACAAATATCCAAATGGAAGTAATACAATCAAAATGAGGTAAACATGTAACGGGAGGCAAAGGTTAATCGTATGGGAAAAGTGGCTGGAGACCGTCTGACGGGCGATAACACAATGTTAATGTCTTTTACGTCACCAAAACAGCTGAATCAGAATTACTCATGACGAGGTCACGGAACATCGTGAGAAACGGGAACTAAGCGATATATCTGCTGGGTTATCTATTTATTTATTTATTATCCTATTTGCACCATTTTGTAGGCGGGTTTTGTAAGTAAAGAGGGTCTAGTTCACGGGCATTCGGCTATCGAGCGGGAAGTTATGTTTTGCACTCGCGAGATTTTTACGCGGATAGTTACTAAAACATAATCGCGAACGGATAGAGAAGGGGAATTTTTCCAATTTCTACAGTAAAAACGGATTTATTTAATTAAGTGACGATATCGTCACTCATCCGCTGTAACTTTGTGCGCAATTAATACATTTCAAATTAAGTGGATCACGCAACATCGAACATTCCTTTGAATTTTGCAATGGTAAAACCCCTCGCAACGATCCAAGAGTTAACGTTAGCAAATTTTTGTTCCATTTCTCGAATCCTAAACAGACGACGATCCAGTTTTCAAATGTTGAACGACTCAAGGGGGTAGTTTAGACACCGTATGAATAAGGTAAACCGTAATTTTTTTATTTGTGTTCTGTACGGACTGTTTTACTTGTTGGGGATTTAGTCGAGCGCCGTAGATCACATTGTAGAATGGAAAAAAGTTATGATGTATATTCCTGCACCGGTGGGAGGGGCCCCTACACTTTTTTAATAATGTACAAAAAAATAGTCAAAATACTTGAGCGCATCAGATTATAATAGTGTATATGCCCCAAGTGTCTCTGATATTGGAGGTAAGTATGTTAATCTGCCGGTTTGCATACTGGGGGAGGCTGCACGGAAAGGTAGAAAACGGTACTATTCAAGCGCGTCAGATATTTAGATCTCAGTTAACTGACATCTGAACGCACTGAACTTTATTGACGATGTGTTCCAATTTGGCGTATGAAAATATGCAGATCATATTTGCATTTTTTGGCGTTTTTACAAAACAAAACCCAAAAGTGCAATTAACATATTTTCATCTTTTCCTTTTTGACAGTTTTACTTATCGATCTCCCATAAGAGCTCATAATACATGAGAAAAATAAGAGTAAACAAAATTTTACCTCCCAGTAATAGCGAATTTGAGACAACCATTGAAAATCTGTAATTCCTTTCACTTTCAAGTCTATTAATTCTGATAACACATCCCTTGCGTGTACATCTAAAACCACCAAAGCTCCTAAAAGCAAAAAGTTCGCAGTTGAGTCAGAGAAATATTGCAGATTACCTAAGGTAATCCTATTCTGCGCGCTAAGCTTTCCCCGAACCAAATTCACCACCTTTGAGATTTGTACATTACACCTTTCAAGGCACCTTCTCATCTCATCGTGGCTTATAATAATGGCCTCATGAACCTCCGAAGTCCAATAAGTCATAGCTACGCTTTGTACCTTGAAAATCAAACCTCATATGCCTCGTAACTTTACATTAGATTCCTTACAGTTTGGCCCGGCCAAATTAAAACCCATTCGTCGCGCGGTCGCGCAGTGTAATCCTTTATCGCGCCCGCTACCATTTTATGAACTGATTTTTTCATGTCCGTTTCCAATTCCAAAAGCCACTTCTCAACTTGTCCGCGAGCTTGTGACGTTTGTATGACGTCGACTAAGGGTACCTCTTCGCCTTCGCTTGACTTCATCTTAGTAACGTCTAAATCTTCGGTAAATTCCAATGATGCTATCCCTTCAAAACACTTTTTGAGATGAGGTTGAACCCTAAAAGAAATGTCTGTAAGTTTCCCCCGAATTTGAAACCAAAAGGACGTGGTCTTAAAATAAGTTTAATAATTCATGGCGCACTGCTTCAAACTGCAGAGTTGATTTGCCTAGTGCCATAAGATGAGTATTATGGAACCTTGAGTTAAGTACGCTAAATTGTACCCTTATCTAAACGATACAACCAAGAAAATAATTTACCTTGTGGGATCTTTTGTTTCTGACAGTATTTCCAACAATTCGTCATTAGATAAAAAGAAAAATCTGGGAAAATACAATCTCTTCTTCTCCAAATATTCGTTAAGTCCACGTTGAATGAGCTCAAGTAATATGTTTGATTTTTTCAGCCGCTCTAACATTTTTTCCACTTGCACAACAGCCATTACTTTCGGCTCGGCGTAGCACGTTTTCATTATATCGCGCCACATCTAAATAAAAAGGAAGTTACAGCATATCAGGGCAATTGTTAACATAGAGATCGTTTCATTTAAAACATACTACTCTTCATTGCTCTCATTTACTTAGTAGAGTGCGTTTGCTGCAGGACAATGTATAAATATTGAATATATGAAAAAATAAAATTTAATTGTTAGTCTACACCCGTTCCTTTCATAGTCAGGCCGTGAATATTTGGAGCTGCCCTCTATATACTACACTCACCTCTTTTGTTTTGAGGATAAATGACTGTTTGAGAGTTCAAAAGACGTTGCGCCACTACAAAAACAAAAATTTCCCTACAAGTCTAAATCCTCCAGCTTGTAGCCACTGTAGCTACTCAGATATCGTGTTTTAATGGATGAAAAACATCAGCCACCCTGTTTGGGTCATCTGCAAACTCGGAGAAATCGCCAAAGCTTGGAAACCTGTTTTTCCATTTTGTCCAAAAACCCGAGCTCCTCTAAAAATCGCATTTTTGCGATCCACGAACAAGACATGCTATTGCTAGTGTAGTAGCAAAGAGTAACTATAATAAGAGATCCAACGGTATAGAGAATAGTGTTGCATATGTATTGTGTGTTGCCTAACAAATTTTAGTGCTTTTTCTCAATTTTATTGGCGTACGCTACGCCTAAGGGGCTATTTCAAGGCAACTACTTGTTTAGAAGTTTATAAATATCATTGCAGAAATCCCAGCGTTGCCAAATTTTTAGTGTTTGCTTGCACTTATTTAGGTATCTATTATTCCTTGAAATGTATGATGTTTAAAGATATGTAATTCCATTCTACGATTATGGCACAATTTATTAAGGTCCGAACGCTTGTTGGTTTGATTCATAGGTGCGAAGATATGTTTTTTGAGCGGTAAATAATAGATTTTTTACTGTGTATCCCAGTAAGCGCGAGTAATAAGCTCGCGTTGATTACGTCTCTGCCCTTTGTCATGAAGTTCTTCAGGCGTATGGTTAAGGAATTAAGCACAATAAATAATTAAGTACGCAAAACTAAAAATGCAATTTTAATGTCATCATAACATGTCGGCTACTTCAACACAACTTTTTGAAACTACAGCGACATCTTACAGTTAAAATAAAGAACTCATGTATAATTGGTTGCTATCAACACTCCCCCTCAATTATACACTCCTTAAAAATAAAGATTTCTATTTCCCCTACAGGGCAAAAAACATTTAGAATATAATAAAAATTCTTAACCTACATATTATGAACTTTAACCACATTTAATAAGTTTTTAAAATATTCAAATTTACTTAATGACAATGATTTTGTTAAAATATCTGCTTGCTGTTCGTTTGAGGGTATATATTGAATATGTATTCTTTCAGATTCCACACAGTCTCTAATATAATGATGTTTAATGTCGATGTGTTTGGTTCGACGAGTTTCCAATGTTGATGCCATTCTAATACAGGATTGATTATCTTCGTTAATGACAATCGGAAAAATATTAAGATGTAAAATTTCTTGACATATGTGACCGAAAAATAAGCAATTGCTAACACATGTCGCTAAAGCTACATATTCGGCTTCAGAGCTTGATAACGCTACTGTGCACTGCTTTCTTGTTTTCCAATCAATAACATTATTGTTCATTTTAATGACGTATCCGGAAATACTTTTACGGTCATTAATATTATTTGCAAAGTCCGCATCGACATATGCATTAATGTTTAACTCTGAACTACCTTTAGAAAACATCAAACCATGATCAAATGTGTTTTTCAAGTACCTCAGAATCCTTTTTAAATTAGTCCAATGTTCAAAAGTATAATTATTTTGGAATTGACTGTAATATGTTACTGAAAAACTTAAATCTGGGCGTGATCCTAACATTATATACATAAGTGATCCGATAAGTTCTCTATAGGGCAAATTTTCATGACTGACACAATTTTTAGCTTCACCTAGTTGCAATTTATATTCAATTGGTAAATTTGAACTTTTACAGTCAAGCATGTTGAACCTCTTTAGGATTTTCCATATCAATTTACTCTGAGAAACATAAACCTTACCTTCAAATTTACTTATTTGCAATCCAAGAAAATTTATACAAGTATTTTGAAATTGTTTCATTTTAAAACTTTCCATTAATTTGTTTTTTACTAAAGTTAAGCTATCCTCAGATTTAGAAAACATGATTAAATCATCAACGTGAACTAAAACAAATGTTTGATCATTAAAATACAGGCATGGATCCTTTTTAGAACGTTTAAAACCTAATTTAATCATAAAACTGTTAAAAAGTGAATTCCAACATTTCGGTGATTGACGAAGTCCATATAGGGCTTTATTTATCTTGCAAACTATGCCAGAACTTTCAATTTTTAAACCTTCAGGTGGTTTCATATAAACTGGATTTTTTTAGTGTACCATTAAGAAATGCTGTCTTAAAATCAAGTTGCATTACAAATAAATCAAATTCAACATACAAAGAAATTAAAAACCTTAAACTTGGCATACGTGCGACAGGTGAGTACACATTTTCAATTACCTCATCTTGTTTGTAGCCGCGTGCTACCAACCGTGCCTTTTTCTTCTTTTCGTTATCCACGATCTTCTCAGAAAACACCCACCTTGAGTCAATGACAGTCTCATTTTCTGGTTTTCTCACAAGTTGCCACGTATTGTTCTCTTCTAATGCAGTTAGCTCTTCTTGTATCGCTTTCTCCCAACCTTGATTGACCTCTAAGGCTTCCTTGTAGTTTTTCGGAACATCTGTGATTAAGTTACATGTTGACAATGCTGCAAATAAATTTAAATCATCTTCTTCATCCAAATAATAGTCGTCGAGATATTTCGGCTGCTTCTTATTACGCACACTCCTCCGTACAGTTGGTTGTCTCTTCTCCACGTCCTTGTCTGACTGAATTTCCCTGTCGTTCAAGTTCTCTATGTCATCTTGGTTTACCTCGGGGTTCTCAGCTCTCGTAGATTCTTCTGCGTCACTGTCGAGTAAGATTCGTCTAGGTTTCGTATCGCCTATTCCTTCGTCGAAGACTACATTTCTTCCATGTACGACCTTTTGATTTTCAACATCTAGTAACCGGTACCCATTATCAGCATACCCGATCATCAATAATTTTCGTGTGTGAGGGTCCAACTTCGATTTTCTTAATTCTTTGGGAATATGATTATATGCCTTACAGCCAAATATTTTCACCTTGTCTAGATTCTGCTTTTCTCCATACCAAACCTCCGCAGGAGTTAAATCATTTGCTAAAACTCTCGTCTTCAATCGATTAATTAAGTAGACAGCAGTTCGCACTGCCTCTCCCCAATATATTTTCTCCAAACCAGAGTCAAAGATTAAGCATCTTGCCTTCTCCATAATGGTTCGATTGAACCTCTCTGAAACTCCATTTTGTTGTGGATTGAACGGTACAGTATATTGAATTTTTATCCCTTTTTGTTGACAGAAACTTTGAAATAACTTAGAGGAATATTCGCCTCCATTGTCGCACCTTAATCGATGGACACGTACATTGAATTTCGTTTCAGCCATTGCGACAAAATTTTGAAACTTTTCTAATGCTTCGCTTTTTCGGTTCAATAAGTACACCACACAAAAATGTGAGAAGTGGTCGATAAACGTTATGAAGTACTGTTTAGCATCGTACGTTGATGGATATGGGACCGCAAATGTCTGTCGAAATTACTTCCAGTATCCGTGTTGGTTTCCTTTCATTCCGTATAGGCACATATGGTTTCCGTGTTTGCTTCGCCTTAACACAGATTTCACAAACTTCTGGAGCAGGATACTTGGATGAATGTCCCATTCTTCGATGTTGCAACATTTTTTCTTCGTTGTATGTCATATTAACAAAACGTGTCTGGGGTTGAAATTGTAATGAAACTACATACAAGCTTCCTTCCAAATATGCTTTTAGTATTACCTTGTCGTCTTTCAATATTGTTGCCTTCCGATCCTTAAATACGACTGTTAGTGAATTTTCTTCCAACTTTTTAACGGACAACAAATTATACAACAGATTGTCACATAACCACACATTCTGCACCTTCAATTGTTTACCTGTGCACGATTTTAAAAATAGATCACCTTCTTTTAACGCAGTTATAGTTTCGCCTTCTTTAGCAACTTTAATTTTGTAATTAATGTCTTTTACATTAGTTAAATAACTTGCAAAATTAGAGTTTATTAAATGATTCGTAGCCCCACTATCAAGGATAAATTTGATCATACCGTCATTTCCTGTTTTACAGTTCACATTTGATGCAACGTTTTCACCATCGTACGAACTCACAAATGTCACTGGTTCTTCTTCATTTTCCTGATTTTCCGCACCATGTGCACTGTGTGAAGCCTGAGATCGAACGTTGTTATTATGTCCCAACCCAGAACTTTGTTGTTTTCGTCTTTGCCAACAATCCACCTTTTTATGTCCAACTTTATGACAAAAATGGCACTTGAATGGGAAACTTCCACTTTGGCTGTTTGCAGTAGCGCTCCCTCTTTGATTCTGGAATGTCTTCTTCCACTTTTTGTTGTCGTGGCCCACAAATGCAAGATTACGATCCGTTTGTTCAACATTTTTACTTTGCCGCGACTCTTCCAGCAACAACTTATTTTTGACAAAGTCTAGATCTACACTTTCTTCGTTTTGACAAAACATTACATCTATTGCAGTAGTTACCGACTGATAACTTTCTGGCATCGCTGACAACAACTGTAACACCGTTTCACTTTCATCGATTTTTCCACCCGCTGTCTTTAGCTCAGATAACGTCTGATCAAATTGTGTTAGAAACGTGCTTAATGAAGCATCACCAGCAAACTTCAAACTTCTAAATTTTCTTTGTAAAGCTACCTGTGTAGAAATTCCTCGTCTTGCGTAAGTCTTGTCAAGACTTTCCATCATCTCTTTAGCCGTTTTCTTATCTTTTAACATTTCCAGTACGTTATCCGCTATACTTTGTATTATTACCATTCGAGCTTTAACGTCCTTTTTATTAAAACTTTCCAATTCACCACCTTCACTGGGCGGCATTGTCTTCAGAGCCTCCGACACACCCTGTTGTTCCAAAAGCATTTTAACCCTGAATTGCCAGTTAGAAAAAGCGGCTGATGACCCATCAAACGGTTTCACGTAGAAAAAATTCTGCTGCTTGTCCGCCATGTTCCATGTACTATTGTACTTCATGCACCACTTAACAGCTTCCCGATTTTTTCCTGTGACTTAATTCACCAACTTCCCATTACCTTTTTAATCACTATTGCAACATACTGGCCACTGGGCCCATAACCTCATGAAGTTCTTCAGGCGTATGGTTAAGGAATTAAGCACAATAAATAATTAAGTACGCAAAACTAAAAATGCAATTTAATGTCCTCATAACATGTCGGCTACTTGAACACAACTTTTAAAACTACAGCGACATCTTACAGTTAAAATAAAGAACTCATGTATAATTGCTTGCTATCAACACTTTGTAAATGTACACACTGTCCGTCGTCCTACCGTCGACGGACGTGTGGAAAAGTCGACCGAAAAAATAATAAGAGAATAAAAGATTCCCGGAAAAAATGTTTCACTTTTTAATTTTTGCCGGCCAAACAATATAATAAAAACAAAATAAACTGCCTCCATTGGATTATAGTTGCAACCCCACCTCTTTTAAAATGGTTTCTTTGCGATAACTGAAAAACTACTTGGCCGATTTGGACCATATTTTTACCAGTCGATGTGACTAATATGTCCCCTTTAATCTCATTACATTTCACTCCGATCGACCCACGCATTCCGGAGATATAGGTAAACCCTATATTTGGAGTGGAAGAAAATGTTGTTTTCAAAAATAAGAACATACACTGCATTATCAATCGTTTAGATGGATGAATCACTATAGCAGAATGCGCGGTGGCTCAAGTTGAGCGGCAAATTTAAATACTGAAAAACATGTGTACGAAGCTTAGTTGCTAGGAGACCGATGCGCGCTAGTGCTGCAGCTTAAAATGCGGGTCGAGAGTATTTTTTTAATTAAATTGTTTAAATGAGAATAACGTGTAAATATTTAATTAAATTTATTCGACGAGTGCAGATTTATTAATTTATTATTTAACTGCACTACATATTTTGACTGATTATTGGATTAGACTGATGTTTTTTTTCTGAGGACATAAGGATTATTGCATTGTAATGATTGATTGTTAATGATTAAACAACTCAGCGTATGTAGGCATCTATACAAAATTAAAGCAAACAAAATTTCCTGTAAAATAATCGCTATGCTCATCATAAAATCCAATTTGCTAGTGCATTTTATGAAATATATTGTCCACTTTAATTTGATTGTAGGAGACGATCTAAAAAGGATGGATAATAACAAATTTAATTTACATTTTTACAATTGTACCTGTTATTGGTTATTCAATTAAATAGTAATTACTGTCTATTCAATAGGCGCCAACTAAACAGGAAAATACCAATGTAATTAACAATAGGTACTGAATCGTTGCTGATTTCTTTTATACATAAGTAATGTTTTCTAATTATATCATGTCCACATTTTATACAGCCAATAAGAAAGAAAATTAAATGTGACAACCGCGCAAATATTTTAAACCGAAATTCTATAAAGAATTCTGTAAATTTTCAATACGCGCCAATATTTAAAGAGGCGGTTAGTTCTGGCCACCTCTACGCGAGGGCCCGCTTTTGGAGTCCTAGCGGGCGAGTTCTTATAGCCAACACGCGTTTATACCATTGCGCTGTATCTCTTATTATGGATACTCTTTGGTAGTAGTTTGTACCTATACTCTGTTTTTTAACTAGGAAGACGGATTTAAAAACCTGATTTACACTGAAAATGTCACTAGAATCTAGTAACAAAAATAATACTCATTTTATACAGACATGTATTGTGTGTTGCGTGATGTGTTTTTCTTTCACATTTGGATAGATTTCATTATTTATGCTTTTGGGTTATTATTTGATAGGAACTACTTTATATTATGCATACATCACACTTTTAAAAGCGAATTATAATAAATAGGTAATACATTGATAATAGGTAATAATGCTGCATACATTTTTTGACCTTTGAAACATTGTTTTGAATTGTAGTTTTAAATGTTTTATCAGTTGTAATACTACACAATCCACATTACAATTTACAACAAATGTTAAGTTATTGAACAAATTCAGAGCAATGGAATTATATTCATATTATTAAACAGCACAGTTCACTGTTTTATTTATAAGCGACTTAGACACTGTCTTCCGAAAGTTCACTAAAACTGTCACTGTCCTCCGATCCGAGTGAAATAATTAATGGTTCCATTAGGCCATCCGATCTACACATCTTATTTTCTTCCTTAATAACGTGTTGCACACACTTCCGCCAATCGTCAGAGCTCACATTTGCAACAGCCTTATGACCACCGGAACGTTTCGAAGGGGTAACAATCCCAGTACTTCGATCTTCTTTAATTATCCGGTATACTGTTGATCGTGCCACTCCTAATATGTGTCATACTTTAATAACTAAATATATACCTACATCATTATTTACGTTACCTGTGATAGATGTAATATTCAACACAAGCATAGCAAAATTCATATCCGGAGTATCAGATAACATTTGTTTATAATAAACTGCTTTTCGGAGACTGATAAAATGACCTAAGTTTAAGCGACTACGTTTTTTCAAAGGAGACAAGCTTGCTTTACTGGTACTTGGAGTTGAATCCATCACCAATGCCAGTACACTTAGGACGCGAAATATCAACTTTAGTTCTTAAAAGAACTGTTTTACTTTGTTAAAATTTATGCAAAAGGACTCGGAACACACGAAAACTCAAAAATAAGTACAACAGTTAAGGATGAGAATCGCGATTAAATTTGACAGTTAAATCATGTCAATAGTAATTTTACCTGGGTGTAAAACGGGCGCAGCGCGAGCCAATAGAAACTAAGATTTTTTGCGGGAACTTTTAAATCCGTCTTCCTAGTTAAAAAACAGAGTATAGGAAGTCAAGTACCACTTCAGTGAACACTTTAGAAGATGTTGACATTTCAGTCCGAGTGGAAAGTAAATTCTTGGCATACATTTAAACTGTACCGGGTGACCCAATAAGACTGTTCCTCCGCCATATCTTGAGAACCGTTCGTCATATAACTAAGGGATAATTTGTTACAATCGGTCAAACGGTTAAGAAGTTAAAGCAGGTTATTGCAAAAACAATTGAACGCCCCACGCCATCTTTGTTTTTGAAATAACTGAGTTTTTGTTTGTACGAAAATGATAAAATAAACTGGTTCTCTTTAAAAATGTGAAAAAAATGTATAGTTTATTATGCGAAATTTAAAGAAAATGCAATTTTAAAATTTAAGATGGCAGTTGCACCCTCTCGTGGTCATTTTTAAAACCTGAACATATTTTCCAGCGATACTGTTCCCGAGATATGGCCGAGGAACAGTCTTATTGGGTCACCCGCTACATATAAAACAAGATGTAGGTAGTTAATTTTAAATTAAAATGAGAGTTTTTGCTGGCGATTTGATTATTTCCTGATCCCCTGATCTACAAACAAAATGTATAATGTGACACTAGGGAACTTGTGATATGTTTATATCCACTTCAAATAAAAAAGTGAGAGTAAGCATAATACTTGTACCTACTTAAATAAATGATGACTATTTTGTACCTTGTCAACCGTAGTGAACTTCCTCCCCTCCTCAGGCATTTGCTGTTGGATATCCGGAGAGGAGAATATTGGTTCCAAATACATCCACGTAGCCTGAACCTTCAACCAATCATCCAAGATTTCCTGCAGAAGCACCAATTTTGCCTCCCAGGCACTGTAAAATTGAAGACAAAATTACAGGCCAAATATACCTACATCACGCTCACATCATTTGCTTTTCAAATGGTTTAATGTATGGAGAGTTCTTCATAGTTTGTGTCTTTACCAGGTGGTCATCCAAAAGTACCTGAATGTCATCAATTGCGGACAATATATACGTTCCGGTATCGCTGTACAGAAACTCTTGTAATAATTGAAATTAATGCGGGTAATTACCGATATGGTGCAATAGTAAACTCAATGTCCGCCCATTCCGCGACCATTTTATTGAGATTCTTTTCTAAATTGTTTTCTTTGGTTGCGGCCTCGGAGATCGCCTCAAATTGTGGAACAAACTGATTTAAACCATAACTGAGTATTTTTCCTAAAGTTAGCTCAGCATCGACGACGAGCGGAAAACCGATAATATCAGAGACTATCTCCCAGTGTCGCGGTTTCATTCCTGGGTTTCCTAGCGTTTGGACTATCGGAAGATTCATCTTAAAGTCCTCTATTTGGAAACGCACCTAAAACAGAATTGTACAGAATGAAGTTCTTGAAAATCTACCAGTATACTTTCATAGCCAAATCTTGGGTTACAGGTCGGTCGCTAAACATCTTCTCCAACTTGTAGATATTTCTGAATGCTGTTCCTACTTCCGTCTCCACCATTTCCGGATCAAAAGAACCAATCTTGGAGGTTGTCCACGCGTGGTGCTGATTTATGAAATCCATTGCGCAATCAAACAACTTCTTGTAAGGTGACAGTTTCTCGTAGGTAGCCTTTCTAAGAGGGTATTGAGACAGTTCAAAACCGTAGGCGGCTTCCTCTTCGTTAAAAGCATCAATTCTCTGCAAACCTTGCACCAACCTAAAACATAACGGTACCTGTATCCAAATTTGATTAAACGAACCCTTACTTTGCGTCCAAATATTGGGCTTTTTGGTGATACATTGGCAATTCGTCGATATTACCGTAATTTTCAAATTCGTCGACCATTGTTGCATACAAATCCAAGTCATCCTTAAACTTCTTGATTCTGAAATTGAGCAACTCTTGAAATTCCACAATTTTCTTATCGGCCATTTGCCGATGGCTTTCGAGGACTTTCGGAAATCGCGCGTTCCTAGCCACAAGGCGATCTTAATCAATGCGACAGAGAAGATTATTCATACCACAAAAACGAAAGTGTATTCTGTTTCATCTCGGCCATTGTGAATAGTGTATGATCAGACAGAAAAAGAATATACTTCATAACTACTGCAAGCTTCTCCTCCATTATTTGCAAGGTTTTCTGTTCAACTTCTTTAACAAAGTTCAAAAGATTCATCAGTTCGGCGGTGTTAGCGGGAACGGTTAGTATTCTATCGGAAATGCTTTGAAATTGATCACTCAGCCTAAAAGGGAATTGTAATTAAATAGTAGAAACAGGCTATCTGTGCCAAATTCCATGAATAGGTACTCGATTATTTATGGTTGCTGTCCCAGATAGAGACTACCCATAGCACAGCTTTACATAGGTAGCACTTATTTATTGTAACGAACTATGTCTTTAAGGAACGTAATAGCGAGAGGTAAAAACTGTCTATAGTTTGTCATATTTAATTCTCCATTGGATTTCTAATATTTCAAGATCAAGATCTTTAAGGAACGAGAGAGATTAATAAAAAAAGGCTATCAAGATTCCTAAAAATATATATGAGGCGTTTTCGGGAATTGAACCGGTTTAAGCGGGTTAGTCAAAATTACCACGGAAACAACTGTGGCAATAATTCTTACCATAACAAAATCTGCCAACAAAAAAGCCTGTGGTCATCATAAAGTAAGGGGTATACTTTAAAATCTTTGTGCTTATTTTACAACGAAAAACGTCGAGGAATGTCTCAAAAATTCGAGGAGGGTTTCGGGAATGTTAAGAGATTTAATGTATAATTATTAAATTCTTGAAGGGAGAAATAATTTTACAAACAACTCTCATTTGTTGTGTGTAATATTGGTTGCTTATAGCCATCCATTTCGTCCAACGTCCTGATCCTATCCCTCCAACCCTTCTTGAACGAAGTGTAACAGATGACCCTAGTGTAGATGCCACCTTGTCTCACGTTTTTACAGGACCGTTGCTCGGTTTCGCCTCGCACATTAAAACACACAACCAAGGGCATTCCGGTAGCGCTTGGCTAAGGCCGCCTTGCTTTACACATTTACCCAAATCGCTGTTGCTTGTAGAAGATGATCGAGCAATATAGGATACCAACGTAAAAAACTGATTGTTGTAGCTCCATCGTTTCCAAATAATCGCCAAAATATGAAAAAAGTGGAATCTACAGGCAATTTGGGGAAGGAAGGGGGTGCGACCCAACGCTTTAGAAGTCTCGTCGAACTAAGAAGTCAAAACCATTTCCTATTTTTCGCCGTCAAAAATCCGGTTAACCCCCGAAAAGCGCATTTTTTTCGAAAAATTCGTACGTCGCGTGGTTTCCGTGTCGCCCTATTCATTCGTATGCACGACGGCCCGGGCTGCGCATTTCCGAACTCCATCCTCATTATTTCACGTTTGCCAACTCAAAACAGAGTGCGGCGTTGAACGTGGTTGGAGTCTGGTACTTGATTGCGAGAGTAGATCCAGGAATTTTATTTAAACATTGTGTGATATTAAGGCTCAAATGAGTACACTGAACATCAGAATAATTTTATTTATTTTATAGCATATTAAAAAGACTTTTTAATAGGTTTGAATGAGTAGGTAAGTCGTTCGTTAACGGTGAGGATAGAAAAGGGATCACTTTAACCGCTAGGGTAAATAAAGTGAAACAGATGATTGTGCATTCTAATGACATCTGTCATTCTTATTCCAAATCTCACGAGGAGCGCGATATGACATGACGTTCAGAACATATGACAATTTTATATACTTTTGATTAGGTACGCTTTTATCTTCAATCACTACTTTAGCACTATCAAATGCAAAGAGTTTTTTTAGTTGCAACATCGTATAAAAGTACCACTACGGATTTATCAACGCGACTGACACTTTATGGTACAATATACTCAGTACACAATCACCATAAGAAAATGTCACACTAATGACAATAACAAAGAGGATTCACGTTGTTATTTATTTACGCCTTTACAAAATGGCAAGTGGAAAACATGGCGCCGCGTGTACGCATATCGGCATTTATGTTAATTCCGAAACCCCATCTAATTCAGCAGGGTGCGCTCCAATCGAGTTGGGAAACGTAGTATGGGTAAAGGCCGAATGTTTGGAGGCGTTAGGATCTATTCGGCAAAGTGTTGCGCTTAATAAGGATGTAGTTCGGAAATTCGCGCCCGGGCTAATCACGCGCAATGTTCAGTTTTTTTCGTATTTCTTCGCCCGCTACAAATTTTTATACGGCCTTCGGAGGTCATCGCCCATCCTTCTTACCCCCCCCCCCCTCCTCCACCACGGCATCCCAGTATCTTTACGAGTTACGAATGTTTTATTTGCAACCGCTGCTGGGGAGGTTTTCTTCTTTTTCACATATTTTCGTTTACTCCACGTTACCACCGTTTTAGCAAATTTGATAAGAATCCGTTTTTATGTCTCCCACACCTTCTCATTCACCCCAGGTCCCCCGCCGTCCCGCGAGCGAACGTTTGATCAGGTGCTTCGGAAGCGCCGTCGAACTACGAAGTCGACGCAAAAAAACAACACAACTTGACACGCCCCCGTTCCTCCGCTTCAACGTCATAACTTTATCTCCACGCCACGGGGTAGCGCCCGCTTGGCACTCCGATGCCCCGCGTTCGTTTCGCCATCTTAGCCTTTCCAATGTTTCCTTGAGCAGAAACCATTCAAGCTCCGAAAAGCGCACCTTTATTCGAAAAATTCGCCCCCCCCCCCACTTCACATGGCGACCTCTTCTATTGGAACGCCAATTAGTGTCGCATGTCATTACTTTTTGTGTCAACATAACATTGCAATATCTAAGTAAGCAAAATCATTTGCAATCACTACATTAACCTACATACAATTAACTAATATACACACAGGGTGTTCCTTATTATATCATTACAGGGGTCACGTACCCCTAACAGCTACGGAATCCATAAGTACCACCCCAGTAGTTAGAATAACTTTTCTCCATGTCCGAAAGTGTTTTTTTTTCGCGGTTTATACACCTCCTATGCGAGCCCCCCCCCCCTCACCCTGCATATTCTGAAAAATCCGAAGATGTTTTTAACTAAGAAGAAATGATGACTAATATAGGAAAGCTATCAACTTACCGTTTCACGTTTCTCAACGCTGGATGTATAGATAATAGATAAACCAAGTCACCGCAACAAATAATAATTCTCTTACAAAGATTAGAAAGAAACATCTACATGATACCACACATACACTTAGTTTAATCAAAATATAGACAATAATAATTAATTGATATTCAAGTATTCAACATTTATCTGTGTATACCAATCAAAACCATTGTTTACCCCTCTGCTAACTATGGTGAATTATCGTGCAATAGATTGTCAAGTTTTCAAAATACATACTACACAAAAACCTAACCATTAGTATCTCTCCCATATGGCATTTTAAAATAAAGCGGTACAATGAAAGATCGTGGTTCAATAAGTAATTGCAAATAAATCCTGTCCTCAACAACTGGCAGTTCTCAGACTGCGTAAGAAAAATTAAGTAAACTCACCCCTTGCAAATTGCTTGATAATCTGAAGTCATTTGATCTATCAAAGCATCTTTCATTGCTAGAGCAAGAGACACCAAAGTCTGAATTAAGTCAGTTCGATGCATATCATAAATGCCCAAGGTAATGACATGCTCTTTAACAATCGGTAAACTCTCAGCAGTTGCCTTAAGTGGTAGAATTTCGGCAATATATTCCTCAAAGGTGTGCTTTTCTATTAAAAACGTTTTGATTTTTTCGTCCATCTAAAGAACATTCCATTAGCAATGAAATGGAAAAATAGGTAGTCTAACCTCTCCACTAATTATTGGCAGATATTCATCAAAATCTTGTAGTCGTAATTGTGGCGCATTACATTGATCCTCCAATAACTTTTCCAATATTGTGATATATTCGTAGACCAACAAATTAGGAATAATTGGCTGAAATATAATTTTAATAGGTACCTCGTTTATTTTCCGATAAACTATACTTTAAGGTATTGGGGTTCTCCTTGATAGTCCAAATATAAAATAGTTTCCAAACGGGGTACATTCATAACTGCTGAAATAATCAAATGTATGGTATTCAACAGAGTTTCTTTCACATCGGCAAACGATGGCTCGAATATCAAACGACAGTCGCTGATTATTACATTAATTTGGAAACCCTTATTCTTATACTGTAAGCAGAGTGATAAATTACAGCCGAAAGAAAACATCTTACCTTAACATCAGTGATATAATCCATAAAATCGTACAGAGACTCTAAGCACAAGCACTGCAAGTGGTAGGACATAAGTGTAGAGCAGCAATCATAAAACTTTTTAAACTGCTTTTGATGTACGGGATTAGGTAAATTTTTTGATCTACTACCCGTTAAAAAAATATCAATAACTTTACCAAAGTAGGAATCCATCAGAATACTTTTCGTCTTTTCAATTTGCTTATTAATTGTGAGCTGAAAATCTTGCAGTCGATATGCTCTCGGCCGTTTCATTAAATAATTAATATCGACTATTCGCAATGAGGCAAATTGCGAATACCATAAATCTATTAGTTGGGCTATACAAGGATTTATGACGTATAACTTTCGTTCCAATTTAATTTTCGCCAATTTAATTTTACTCGCCTCTTGTTGAGTTGATACCTTCTCAACGGTTGGGTGCTTAGTTGTGCTGGGGTCACGTAAAACAAAATCGACAATTGACGTTTTAATCGCAAGCGTGTAATCTCCTTTCATGTCATCAACTGCAATCGCCAATATTTCCTTCCATTTTTTCAGTTTTGCTGGAACTAAAGCCAAAGCCTAAGAAAATAACAAACAAATAGAATTGAAATTATTAAATGTAAATTGTGCCATGTATGCAGAGAAAGTGGCTCTAAAAAATTAAATTTCTTTCATATCTAAGATAATAAATAAAATATTAGGATGTACTGGGATAAATGAAATCTTTGGTTTGGTTTTTGAGTAGCTCTACGTTGTAAGAGCCCTGAGCCCATCCATCCTTAGATCGAAACAGTCGAAACAGAGATCGAAACAAACTGCCCCTATACCTATAGACGAGTGACAAGGTCACTTCCGGATGACGAGTATTGACCAAAATGTAATCAGTTGGTCCCCTGACCATTGTCTATCTTTTACTGAAATCAGAATTGAAAAATTCGAAACCGTTCGCGAGTTATCATGTACGCAGACGGACGGACAGAAAGTCCAAAACAAATAATTTTGAAATTGGACATAAAGTGAAAACCGAGGTGAAAACACATTTTCAATAAGGAGATAGTAACACCAATTTAACGAGCAAGAAAAAGCGAGTTCATGGGTTTGGAGTTTCTGTCCGTCCATCTGTGTACATGATCAGTGCTGTGCAAAAAAAAACGATTAATTGATAACTTTTCCATAATTATCGATTAATCGACGATCGATAAATTAAAAAAAAATTTAAAAATTCAAATAAAATTTATCGATTAATCCATAAATTAGTCAATTAAAAGTAGTGCTTTCCAAAATAGAATTAATCGATAATTATCTTATCAATTAATCAATAACTTATCAATAATTATCGATTACAACTTATCGATAATTATCGATTAATCGATAACTTATCGTTAATTATCGATTAATCGATAGTGGATAGATAGTGGATTAATTTTTAAAAATATGGTCGACTAATAGATAATTTATCGAAAATTATTGAAAAATGTATCGATTAATTGTGATTTTAAAGGATTGGTCGATAAATCGATAATCTACCGATTAATCTTACATCGATTTATCGCAAAAGCAATCAAGTAAGAGCATTCCGGAATTGGCATGACACTTATAAAATATGATCACAAATTCACAACCTACTTTAGGCTGGTTGACGTGAATTAGATGATCACCTCTGATTGCAGAAAACTACGGAATACCTATAGTTGTTGTAATATTTTGCAAAACATCCTATTTTTATTTAAATTATCAATATCAATACCAAATAACCAAAATTGAAACCAGTGTATGCATTGAGAATATAATATCGATAGGATTTATGAAAAAGTATCCATAGTTTTCTCTCGATAATTATCGCTATTCCATTAATCAATAACAATCAGAGATCGACAATTTTCGACAATTGTCAATAGTAATCTATTATTATCGACAATTAACGATTCTTATTATCAAAAGTTAGCGATAATTATCAAAAGTTATCGATAATTATCAAATCTTATCGATTAACGATTAATCGATAATTATCGATAGTTATCGATTCACGATTAATCGATAATTATCGGACTAAACAGACTTATCGATAACAATTTCATTTATCGCCCAGCACTACCTGATAACTCACGAACGGTTTCGTTTTTTTCCAATTTTGTTTTCAGTGTTATGTTTATCATCGCCCAAGGAAGAACTGATTAAATTTTCAAAAACAACTGAAATACACTGCAGTTTCAACCAAAATAGTACACACGGTATAGAATGTAAACATATCGGCACGGTACAACGCAAGTGACTTCCCGCATGTATCCATCGCGGTATGTGAAATAGCAAGAGTGCGACATCAACGAAAAAAGAATTTTAAAAAAATCCTGTAATCCCATGGGGCTCAATTGTAAACCATCTGAGGACACAGACACATAAAAATCTGGTCAAAATCCGTCCAGTCAGTTAGGAGTTCAGTCACAAACAGACATACAGAAGAATTTTATACTACACAAAGAAGAAGATAAATGTGCACTCAGTTTTCTGTTACCTTTAGGATTTATTCTACCTTCCAAATGTCGCTAGCCAGTACGAACGATTTTATTTTATTTCTATTTTAATTTTTCTTTTTTTTTTTTTTTTTTACACCCAATTACAGAGTGGCCCGTAATAACGCTTTTTAGAGGTGCCCCGGTTACCTTATAAATTAGGAAACCTGCAGAAAATCCTAATTCGGAGTAGCCGACAGACTGCTCGAAACTGACCTAGGAAAATTCCCATATCTGCGAGATGAAAAGTTTCTACCTCAGCCCAGATTCGAACACCCAACATCCAGATTTGTAGCCCAATGCTCTACCGTCGGTTTAATGTTAATGTCTGGCATATAAGCAGGTTACAGTGCCATTTGGTAAGTCTTAGATACAAAATACAAATGCAGGCAATTGACACCAGTAAGGATACACTTCTTTTGACTTTTTTTTTTAGATAAAAAAATGAAATTTGGCAACTGTACTTGTGAAGAAAATACAAGAGAAAATATGCATTATGTTATAAGGCATATTCAATTTTTTTAGAATTACTGTTTCACAGGAAATGATGACAACTTTTAAATATCAAATGGGACCCTTTGTATATTCTTACATATTTCGCTCGATATTTCGATATGTCAATTTTGACATTTTAATCTCTAAATACTTTAAATTTTAATCTAGCATGCCATGACTATATATTTACAATCCGATACAACTGAATAACAAACGATCATCGAAATATCTAAGAACATGTGTACCAATTTTGATCAATCAGCGATCGGACATTTCTAAACAAACTTATCGTGCACACAGACAGACAGTTCGTGAAATGTGATACCAGTAAATTTCAATAATAAAAAAACTGAGATGCATAGTACAGATACTTTTTAAAAGAAATTCGAACACAAATGATCAAAGATGCCTTTTATAGCGGCGAATGGTCTCTCTAGAACTTACTCTATCTAAAAGCTTCTGATCTAGGGGTGAGACATGAACTGTATCAACTCCATGCCTTATGTAGGAATAATATCTCAAGGTATCCTTTTCTTGTGCAGAAAACAGATCTTCCAATTCCATTTCCATTTCCTTATCTTCGCCTGTAATTAAATCGACCAAGCGTTTCCGAAAGCTCTCCTTTTGTTTACGTAATTCACTATAAGCTTGCAGTGCATTACCGCTTTCGGCAACTGCAAAATTAACTCCGAAAATAAAATTGTTTGAACAACCAAAATCTACCTTTCTTCTTGGGTGCTTCAGTAACTTTTTTCTTAGTATAGTAGGACGCTACTGGTCGCATTAGATGGGGGGGTAACGAAAACAAGGGCTGACATTGTAAGGTGCAGCATTCCGATGGTACCTCAAGACGTGACATCTTAACGGCACCTTCGGCTATTAACTTATCCAATCGAGCTCTCTTATCCGCTATTCGCTTCAAAAGCCGTTGCTTTTCGGCCTTTTCCTTTTTATTCATCTTTTGGACTATTTTGGATAAAAACTTTTGACAATCACTGAAGTGTCAAAACAACGTGCTACATTTGTGATTATTTTGCACCCGTTTTGATTTCTCGTCCAGTAAAGGTAGGAAATTAACTTCTTTCACAAGGAACTATTCCAATATTTCTCCTGTCTAATGTCTTCGCTTTTCAGTCAACAAATCTTAATTGTAGGTAGTGAATAATTAAGTCATTCGGATTTGACTAATGCCACTTTATGTTTATTTTGTATTGCCATAACGATATCCATAAAAAAACATTTCACATTCATAATTACCTACGTTTTTGGTATAAATAAAAATCAAAACCCAAATACCGAAAACACATAACCTCAAAAGTCAGTCGGTTTAAGTTAAAGCTGCTTACACACGGCTACGACCGTAAAGCGTGGGTGGTCGCCCTTTAGGTACCTATGTATGGCGAGGTTTACTTACAGAGAGAAACTCTTTCTCAGAAAATTCGTAGTCTTTCCTTATTGATTCAATTTCTTTTTTATAATTAGTCTAATCCTACGAGTAAATCTCACTCCTCTACCTAATTGGCTAGTGTTTTATTCATAATTCCATTTAACATGTAAGGAAAAACTCAAAAATTATCTCAAAATAAAATTCAAGATGGCGTTTATTGACGTATTTGAAAGTCTTTTGTTAAGTGCTATATGGGATTTTTCACTGAACTATAGGTACTTATATTATGGCCCGTATTCATATAGCGCACGAATTCTCCCAAATTCGCCTTTTTAGTTCAGTGGGATTTGGCGATTGTTTCAACTTCTGACCAGATGATTTTTTAAGTGATTAATACACTCCATTAATATTCGACCAATCAGCTTGGTGGTTGTTTCAAATTCTAACCAATCAGACGATTTTTTAAGTAATTAAAAGCTAGGTAGGTAGCTTTTTATCAGCGATTAAACGCTAGGAGCTCGAATTTTGTAGTTATAGTTTTATAAACAGAATTTTATACAGTACATAGTTTTTTTACTGCTGAGCACGGGTTGCAACCCATATGAAATATAGGTTCCGGTTCCGTTTCTGTGGGTTCAGTAAATAAATAAAATTATTATTAAAAAAAACAAATTATTAATTACTTTTTTAGGTTTAATTGAAGCTTATTCGTTCGTTCCGCCTCTGTAAACTGCCTGTCTTTTTCTACTTTTCTTTTCTGCTATTGCTTTCCTCCTACGCTCTTCAACCCTCTTACTGTTTTTGATTCATTTTCGGTATTAGTCATTGTAAAATATTGAAGGGTGAGTTGCTAGAAATTAGTAGTAGGCAACTCTTAATAAAAGCGATTTTGGGCTTTTGAAATTTCTTGCAAATTCTGAATAACGCAACTCAGAAAGCGAGATTTTATTCTTGGCCATCAAGAATGACAGCGGATATGACGTACTTTCCAGAAAGTATGATAATATAATTAGAAGACTAGAACGAGGGCGAGGGGGGTTCCCGTTATCATAACTTCTTAAATAACGGTTCTGGTTCTAAGTGAGAGGCTTATAAGTGAAGTACAATCGGTTCCGATGCCGGTTCTAACTCCTGCTTTTGAGTAATTGGTTGTAGTCTTTAAATTCTTCTTGCCACATAACTTCTCGAGCTCCCGGCTACAATCGAGTTTATTAAACACTTGCAACGGGAGCTAACGGATTTTATTTGATTCGAACTTTACTTAAATTTTACATGGCGTGTGGAAGCTTTGGCTCCAGTGGGTTGTGAGATATTGCTTGGTTGATTCGGATTGTAGGGTGATTTTGCGGTTGTTGTTATCGAGGCTGCTATGTAGCGTGGGTTTTGCTAACTCATCAGGAAATTACTCCACGTTGGGTCAATTTATGGCTGTCAAGCAATCTGATTGGACGAAAAAATTACTTTTATTAGCTCAAACGCTTTGCACCTCGGAATGAGTGTCACTCAAAACAGAAAAATAGTAGGGCGAGTTAATTATTCGAAGATAGTCGTCAAAGAATGCGCGTTGAATCGTGAGCAAATTAAAGTCCACCACCTGTAATTTACTGCAGCGTGGATTTTATATTGCGTTATTCCAATTATAGTCCAGGAAATAGAGACTGAAAATGGACCATTTCCTGCAAAACGAGAAGTAGTTCCAATTTTTTTTGCATGTCATGAAAGAATATCTGGTGGTTAAGAATCCAAGTTTTCGACCTCCCACCCCCTGTGCTTCCCCCGTACCACCCTTAAAACCAAAGAAATTTGGTTGGTTTTTTAGTTTTTCAATCATATCTTTTTATAGGTTCATTTTACAAAAAAATATTGTTATCAGAAATTGTAGACTATAAAATTCTACACAACTTTGATATACACTACTTTTTTGTGAAATGTTTATTAAAAACGATATAGAGCTTCAGAGTTGCTTATATTTATAAGAATTCTAAAATTTGTATGTAGGTGTTTTAACCAAATTTTATACTTTATCTCTATAATTAAGAGTTTTATGAGAAAATATCTTGAACTTATCGTGGAATAAAGCCCCTACGCTGCACCCTTAGTGTGGTGTCACACTATGCGTTTTTACCGTTCCCGCTAAAACGGATGCGGTTTGACAGGATGAGATCTACTTGTCACACTATTCCGGTCTAACGGGATGCGTTTTTGCTATATTTTGGCAGTCTAAGTAGTGTCATGCCTCAATTATTGTTAAAGATGGTTTGTGCGTTTGAAGCGGAGGGGTTATTGCGAAAGCAGAATATCCTCAATATTGGATTGATTCAGGACGAGAATCTAATAATAAAAAATTCGAATGAACAAGAAAATCTTTTTTTTGTATATTACCGTCCAAAAATTCAATTTCTACCCATGATTTCTCCCTACAGTTTTTATCTACATACTCTTTAGATTGTTTTTCCCACAGTGCAGTTTTTGCATGCACGCACTCGATGAATACACCGACATCAAACATTGTAAACCTAACAAAACACCCGGTTGCAACGCTCAGTGTGACAACTGATGACAACCAACGTGCAACAACACGTGGTTTCATGTCATTGTGGTTGTCATGTCATCCTGCGCAGCGGCAGCAGGATGCGGTTGCATCCGGTTGGTGCGGCGAAAACGCATATATGTGACTGGTACCATTTAATAACGTGTGATATTATCATCCCGTCAAACAGGAGCGTTTTAGCGGGAGCGGTAAAAACGCATAGTGTGACACCACACTTACCGAAGGGGATGCATAATAATTCAACTTTCAACCCTTGCTGGTGGGGATATTTGAATCACTATGAGATTGTAGGGCTTTGTAATATACGTTTGAAACAAAAAAATTATCTCACTTTAGTTCAGCTTCATCCTTAAAAACCTTCATCCCTCTTCCCCCGCCCCCCCAACCGCGGTAGGAATAGATATTTAAAGAGGAATAGAACACATATGTAATAAGCGTTGTACTCTCTGACTAACTTCACAAGAGCGTTTAAACATCTATTTCTACGGGGGGGGGGGGGGGAAGTGAGACAATTTTTTAATTTCAAAAGTATATTAGAAAGCGCTACAATCTCACAGTGATTCAAATATCCCCAGTAGGGGTTGAAAGTTGAACTATATATTATGCATCCCCTTTGGTAAGGGTGCAGGGTAGGGGGTTTATACCACGATAAGTTCAAGATATTTTCTCATAAAACTCTGAATTATAGAGATAAAGTATAAAATGTGGTTAAAACATCCACATAGAAATTTCAGAATTTTTCAAAATATAACCAACTCTCAAGCTCTATATCTTTTTTAATAAACATTTCACAAAAAAGTAGTGTATATCAAAGTTCTGTAGAATTTTATGGTCTACAATTTCTAATAACAATATTTTTTTCTAAAGTGAACCATTAAAAAGACGTGATTGAAAAACTAAGAAACCAATCAAATTTCAGTGGTTTTGGGGGTGGTACGGGGGAAGCACAAGGGGTGGGAGGTCGAAAACTTAGATTCTTAACCACCAGATGACTGTCTATGACATGCAAAAGAAATTGGAACTACTTCTCATTTTGCAAGTTAAAACCCTCTATTCCCTGGACTATTAGCATGAAACGTTCAGCGCAGTTAAGTCGGTATAATTAAGCGCAGGCCGTGTTTGATTTGTGTTAGATGCATTCTCGTTGATAAAAGATTTTCATAGGGTGGAAAGGCAAAAGCTTAAAATTGCGAATCTAAGTTTTTTATGTTTCTCATTCCCAAAGGATAATTTACGGTTTGGAAAATATTACGTTAAATACGAACAATAGTGGAAATTGTAATGCACAATTATTAAAACTAAATAAAATTTATTTACGAGACGGAATATTGTTGCGCATATGCACAACGGCGTAATACTATCATTCAAGGTGAATGGACTTTGTAATGTTCTAATTCTTCACACATCTGAAGCAGTCGATTGGACAATAATATTTTTTTATGACATTGACATTTACCGTCGTCGGATCAAATAATTTTTAGTAATCATATTTGAACTTCAAATTCAAAGGAGCCATTCATTAGACGAGACCTAGGAGGCCAAATGTTCTTGCTTAGAAGATGTGTCTATATAAAATATATTTCTGTAGACCTCACTCCCCGATTTTCTCAACCCCAACTTACAAAAGTGGCGACTTTTATCTCCTCGTTAATTTGGGCCCATCGGTCATTGCGCACTAGTGTTGCTGTGGTTTTAATTTTTTTAAGTTCATTTTAAGTTGCTAGAATTAAGGAACCAAAAAATAACAATATTCAAATTTAAAATATATTTATACGAGAATATAATTACATAACTTTATTAATATGTAAATACTTTGCATATAGCATAGATTAGTAGTTAAACTTGTATATAAAAAGTAAAAACAAGGCACATTTATTTATTTGTAAAGTAACATACAAAAATAGTAAAACTGCATTAGGTATATTTTCAATGTCTCTTTTACTACTGACACATTTAGGCCTCGGTGTTAGAAATAACTCAAGGCCACGGTTGTTTTATATAGAAGATGGTACTTTTTGAATAATCTAAATATTTTGATAATGACATATAGGTACATACAATCATTGTGTCAACCATCAACCAAAATTTGATGTAGGCAAATACAACCAATACCAGTATCACATTCAAAATTAAAATGTTATATGTGCAAGTTTGGAAAAGCGCAGTTTTCACACAGGTATGATGGTTTAGTGGTACAAATTATATGAATATGAAGGCTATTGATACATGTGTGTAAAGTGCAACCTTCAAAGCCATTTCACGTTTCTTTTTGTGCATTTTCAAAGCAGTTGTGGAAAAAAGAAGTTTGTCCACCATAGAAAAGAAGCACACATAGAACACAATCGTTATTAACACTTAGCATACAATAGCCGATATTAATTTCTAGCAGCAGATCATAATTAAGGTAATCATCAAATTGAAATGCAACATTGAGTACCTATATAAATATCATTGAGGTAAAATGTAAGTAACCGGAAACAGGTGTTTTAGCTTAGGGAAAGTTTTTTTCTAAATTCTTCATGTCTCCTATTAGATTCGCTAATATCTCGTGATACAACGACACCTATTACTATTCCAATAATCACCATAACCAGAAATATTCCTCCGAATATACCCAGGGCGATGTACTGGTGCTTACGATTTGTAATTCCAAACTGTAAAGAACGATTTAATGATTTAATCAGATATTGATAGCAACAGTTACTCTTGGTATCGGTTGGTAGGCTCGTGGAGTAGAATTTAATGCTACAATTGTCTGTTGGGGTTGTGCAAAGTAGGTAACTGGCACAGTAGGTACAGCGTTATATGCATTTAAAGGTGGTGGCTGCCCGCGGTTGTCGTACTGTTGGAAAGGTGGTTGTTGTAACCCTTGATTCATGGGGTATAGGGGAATTTGTTGATGTTGTGAATCAAAACCCAATGGTGCTGTTGGTGCCGTCGTTGAATAAGGGGGGTGGATAAATTTTCTCATCCATGGTGTACTTTGATTTTTTTTAGGTTAAAATTGTTAAATAATAGCGTTTTCGATTGGCAAAACTCGTGCTGCACGAGTGCAATTTTTACGTTCTATTGGTAATTTTAGGGCAATTTTCTGTGTTCCATTGGCAAATGTGATGCAACAATTACGCACTAAATGCAAATTTTGACGCACGAGGTCGGAGAGCTCGTGGAGCAAATTTTCAAAATAAAAGTGCGCCAATTTGAATTTGTTTCTTGCGTTGGAGAGTTTTTTGTTGTCATCTAGCGATAGCGAAGATGATGAACTAGCCATATAACTTCTACTTTACAAAAAGTTGCATTTACTCTTTAAAGTGAACGCCAAAAATTGGTTCTTTACAGGCATTTCAAATTTATATTCCTCATTGTTTATCATAAATAATAGTGAAATCGTTTCAGTCATTTTTTAGAATACAGATTTGTCGATTACCTAAATCATTGTATAAATACAAATCTAAAATGAGGTTATGGACAAATGACAGCAAATATTTACGAATATTTATGTTCCATTGAGAGCAATTTTTGCATGGATTTCTTTAGTTTCTCGTGCAACACTCGTGCAGTACGAGTTTTGCCAATCGAAAACACTATAAGTATCGTCCGTCTCCGTTTATCTATTGCAGTAGTCCTAAACAAGTGGTTTTTCATAATCCAGTATACCGGGTGGTGCCTAGCGCGACGCAGCATAGGGATTTCCATGGTAATTTCTTTAGTCAATTACTAGCCCCCTAATTATTTTAGAGCAAAAGTCTAAATAGGTTTTTTTTTAGAGAAAAAAATACTGCATTTGTTCATACTATTACTCATAATTTTCCGTGTTTCAAAACCGTAGAGATCCACAAAATAAAAAATTACATTTTTATAAATCAGTGATGCTTTGGAATCTTTTAACAAACTACAAGCGCATCGCATCTAAGTTAACGTTGTTTGACGTCGAACGATTTTCATATTTAATTCTGTTTCAACTATCCAACGCAAGAAAAAGCGTCTATGGAGTAGGTTTTTTAGAGAATGTAATGCTGCATCTATGCACCAGATACTATCATCTTCGGAACCAGAGTACATAATCGAAGAAAAAGAAATTGATTTGAGGAAGAATTGTTCTTAAACTTCGGATTTTCCGCTACTGCAGCCAAAACGATGAATGTATTGTCGTTTCCCTTTTCCTGATGATTTTGATAAACATTTTGAACGTTATTGCAGTGATTTAACACTGTGTCTGTTTTTGAAACTTGCCCACAATTCTGTCTACTGTGGTACTGCTTGGAATCCGTCGATTTGGGTACTGCACAGTAAATACAGACGTTATTACTTGGCGGGCATAAAACAACTTTAACATTTCCTCTTCCTGTTCAGTTAAATATACATGACAAACAATTTTTTTTCACTACTAGCGTCTGATGACATGATTATTAACCTTTTTTCCACTTGTAAAGTAGGCTTTCTCGGCATTTGTTCAAAGTGGTTAATAATTTTTTATTATTAACTAGTAGTCAATAATGAGAACTGTCACGCTGTCACTTTTAGAAAACATAACCCGAAATTTCGCTCAATAAACGTTTAGACAAGTTCTCTAAAATGAATAATTGCCACCATCCGCCATTTCCAGAGAAATTACATACCTAAAATTATCATATTTTGAAAAAATTCGAACGAAATTACTCTTTGAAAAATCTCAATGACAGAACAAAATACGGCCTGTTTGACTTGTGCTTCCACGTACTTGATTGACATGTTAAATTAAGAAACAAAAAATTCTGTCCAACCGTTCACTTTCTTATCAATAAAATATGTTAATTTAGAGGATTTCAAGTGCTAGTAGTGAAAAAAATAGTATATATACCACGGTAGAGAAGTCTATTATTGCCTTCGCACCTTACACCCCTCGGCGCAAGCGCCTCGAGATGTAATCTTGGTGCTCAGGCCATAATAGTGGACTTCTCTACCTTGATATATAATGTACTATTAT